TGATAAAAAATCTGGGTAAGAAGACAGTTCAAATATGAGTACTGGGGTTATTATAAACCTTAACAAAATCAAAGAGGTGACTAATTAAGAAAGTTGTAGCTTGAGATATAGATCAAATTATGGCAGCATTCTAAAAGGTGGCTTGAAATACAAACTTGGTAATGGCAGCACAACAGGTACTAGTTAGTTACAGAAGTTTAATGGTTAGTCCTAACACCAATTGTATGAGTCAAGCTATAGTATAAAGTTATTGAAGTCTAAGTGAGATATATAGGTAGGATATGTACCTCAGCAAAATAGTAAGCATGACTATCTGTAGATCTGAAAGGGAATTCTCTAGCAAGTTAGAAGCCAAAGGATAGAAAAACTTATTGCTCGATAGTTACACTTAAATACCTTAATGCAGCCAAGTAGTTGCTTTGTTATAGTTAGTGGGGTACAATAGTCTAAAACTGCAACACTGCAAGGTAAGGATCTATGATATATACAATATATATACTAGATCTGTACTAAATAACCTGGTGGTCTCTATCTTAACTACTAAAGATGAATAAAGCGATAATCATTTAAAAAAAAAATCAAATAACAAATATAGATTTACTTAATACAATTTTGACTTTTATATATAAAAACTACTTTTACTTAATAAAAAATAACCAAAAATTTATATAATCTAAAAATAAACCACTTTAGAAATTTTTGTATAATTTTTTGCCCAAAAATAGTAGCTTATTTTTGGGAATATATAGTAACCAAAAATAAAGTTTTGAGTTGAACAAAAGGTGAGCAACAGGCAAAATAGTGAAAAATTTAATTAGTAGTCTTGACAGGCCATAAAACTATTTAAGAAAATATTAATAAATCTGTTTGTGGGATAAATAGTATAGAGATAAAATCTTATTATAGCAGGTTGCATATAGGTATTCTCTAAACAACTGGGTAAGCCAATACTTGCAACTTAGATGTCAGTGGAATAGCCCTCTAAAAAATTTAATATTTCACAATATAATATTATTAAACTTAATAAAGTTGAAGCAATAATACTAAATTTAAAAAAATAAAAAATAAAAAGATATTAGCAACAAGTTTGATTAATAGCAAATTATATTCGAAATAAGTAATTGCTTATAAGCAGCTTTAACAATACAGTATTAATAGTATTTTTTTGTAAATTGGTCTTGAAATTTTCTAATACAAGTAATTGTTAAAAAAAGTTATATATATAATTTTTATATAATATTCATACTATTATAATAAAAAAAAAAACCTTTTGCAAAAATGTATATAGCCTATTTTGTTTGTTATATCCAGAAAAAGATAATAATACTTTTTAAAAAATAATAGTTTTATTTAACCTTATAAATAGTACTGTATTATATTCTTGAAAAATCAATTTTTTAAATCAAAATTTCAAAATTTTATTGAATTAATATATAAAAAAATTAAATTACCAGTATATAAGGCCATACAAACTTAATTAATTGGTCCTCATAACCCAGCCGGGTCAAATTCAACAAAAGTTTGGAAAAAATTTTTTACTATATTTATTATCCGGGTAAACCTTTTTAAATTTTTGTAAAAAAATTTTATATGTTTTTTACATATAAAATTTTTTGAAAATAAAATTAAAAGCCGGGTTGCCGGGTCATTTTTAAAATTTTATGTTATGAGAACCAAAAAATTAATTTTATATGGCCTAATATAAAAATTTATAAAAATTTTATCTTAAAATTTAGACTTTATATTAGAGTTAGATTCTAATTAAAATTAGAAATTAGGTTTTTAAGATGTTAAATATTTTACTTAGTAGTTTACTAAAGCCGTTCTTGAGGAATAGCATACCTAATTTTTCATCTCCGGAGTCTTAAAATCGGTTTAAACTTTATTAGTAAATTTTATTAATTCTGGTAATCTACTTTTTGTTAATAAGATTATAAAAAAAATTTATAACACTTAACTCTAGTTATATAAATAATCTAGTAGTAACTTCTTTCTTATCGTCTTTGTTTACATAAAGTAGATTGTTTTTTAATCAAAATCTTAACTATTATTTATCAACTTGTTTTTAAATATTTGAAATAAAGAACCTATCAAGCTTCTAACCGCACGATAAATAAAATATTATTTCCAAATTAGAAATTGGCTGAACCGATTACCCGGTATCCGTCTAAAAATTGTTATCCAAAATTTCATCACGAAGATGTTTAAAAATAATTAGGTCGATTTGGGGGCCACAAAAATGTGATGTGATGTATCCAAAAACCTGACAGCTCAATAACTTCTTAATAATTTAGCAATGATGAAATCAAGATTCTTTTATTAAAATTCCTTACACTCACCTTAACTATATATTGTTGTTGCAATGCTCGCAGAAGGGATTTTAAATTCCGAGATTATGGACGGAACTCTGTGCTAACTTAGAACAAAACCTTATCTAAGATCAAAATTGACCAATAATAAAAGATTAGATGGTTGAGTAAATTGACCAACACAAATTCTAAATCAACATAATTTCAAAAGTAAACCCAAATGTTTTATTGAAACATTCTCAAAAGTTAGAATATTCTGAGTAGTATTTTAGCTATATGATCTCCAAAAAAATTATTAGAACAATTAAGAGAATTGTCTATCACGGGATCGTCGCCTGTTTTAACAGGTACTAATTAATCTCAACGCATCTGTTAATAAGAGCTGCCTCGTGACTTTATTCATAAGTTTGGCCAATCCAATAGAATAAAAATTATCCAGTATTGAGTGTTGCCGGCACTTTGTCGTATCGGTATCTCATATTATTGCGGTAACATCTCTACAACTATGCCTAATCGCATTTTTCTTAAAAAAAAGATAGCTATGCTTTGTCCAAATATCTGTTACATCAACCATGAAGCTACAAGAATGGCTTGTAAATGGTGGGGCTGAAGGTCTCAATTGGCTACAACTAGAAGACTTCCCCGATACGGGACGCGGAGTTAAAACGCTGCGGCCCCTTAAGTCCCACGATGTAGTCCTTACAATTCCAGGATCATTTCTTTGGACAACAGATGCAGCAACTAGTGACCCTGTCATTGGGACTGTCATACGATCTGTAGAACCACCATTATCAGTAGAGGATATATTAGCGGTGTTTCTTCTTTTCATCAAGTCATGTAAAACAGGTTATGATGGGAGGCGAGCACACGTGGAATTGCTACCAACCAGTTACACAGCTAGTATATTCTTTAGTGATGAAGAGCTCGAAATCTGCTCTGGCTCTTCGCTTTATCACCTGACCCAAAAGTTGAAACAGCAAATTAGAGATGATTACATTCAACTCCTCACCAATTTGTTCTCTAAACATCCAGATCTATTCCCTTTAGGAAGATTTACACAAGATGACGTGAGTTTTTTTAGTTTTTTTTTTTCTTTTTTGCCTTTTTCTTTTTCGCAGACTATATTTATTCAATAACTAAATGACTTAACTACTGTATTCTTATTTACTTGAATCTTCCAGTATATGTGGGCTCTTTGTACTATTTGGAGTCGTGGCATGGATTTTCAACTACCTGACAGACAATTTCGATGCATTGCCCCTTTCGCTGACATGCTAAATCATTCTCTTGATGTTGAACTTTGTCATGTTTATGATCCTCAATTGAATAGATTGCAGATACTGGCAGGAAAAGACTATGAACCAGGAGAACAGGTTACACACTGTCTTATGTCTTTTATGTGCTTTAGAAGCATTTCCAATTATATTTCTTAATCTCTATTTCTCATACAAAGGTCTTCATCAACTATGGTTCAGTTCCAAATAATAGGCTCTTACGTCTCTACGGCTTCATCCTTCCTGACAATCCTCATGATTCTTATGACCTTGTTCTTACTACAGACTCCCAAGCACCCTTGTATTCTCAAAAAGTGGCCTTACTTGAATCAATCGGTTTACAAGTCAACTCCACTTTCTCCCTCAAACTCAAAGATCCGTTACCATTGAATGTGCTTCAATACTTACGAATCCAGAGATTAACACTAGAGGAAATCTCCACAATGCCGGCAAGGCACGGAGCTAAAGATAGAATTAGTGTTAGCAACGAGGCTGAGATTTTAAAGGCTTTGGACGAAGCATGTAAGAATCTGTTGTCTGGGTTTGGAATCTCTCTTGAGAAACTTGAAGAAAAGGTTGATTCTGGTACATATCAAAAAGGAAGCAACGCATGGGCAGCAGCACATGTTAGTATTAGTGAACAGAAGATTTTAAAAGCAACATTGCAGAAAGTAGAAGAACTGCTTGCTCTAGTTATTTGTGCGAATTGTGGAAAGGAGAGTAATAAGCGTTGTTCAAGATGTCGGAAGGTGGTTTATTGTGGAGCAGATTGTCAAAAAAGCCACTATAAGGAACACAAGGCTTTTTGCAAAGCCGCTGGCGAGTAATAAACTCGAGCATAGAAAATGAGAAAATTTCCAATCCGATGGCTCGGGTGATTTTCATTGATTTGTGATAGGTTAAAATTTATGACCAATAAACGACACTTTAAATTATGCCTTATTTTTATCAAATTTTATTTCTAAGAAATATCAGTAATTAAGAAGTCTAAGATATTACGTAATGTAATTTATTATGCTTTTTTCCTTCTCTCTCCTTGGTATGAGTTTTTTTTTTAGTATTAATACGACCATAAGATCTTTGAAGTCCTTAAGATACAGCATATGTAATATCTGTTACCTACCTTATGCAAAAATGTATTATTTATATGTATCATTATGTATTTTAAGAAAGCCCTTGCTATCCTGTCCACCTTTCATTATGTCTAATAAAATAGATTCAATCTTTCGACAAACGGTCTTTAATATGGGTTGGGTCGACATGCTTTTAATAATTATATTCATTACCAATTATTTATTAAGAAAAATAATGCTTATTCAATTTTGGAAAATAAAATAAATAAATAAAAAACACGATACGATAATAGCATTTATAGTAAATATTACATTTGATGATGATGAAAACATGTTATTTATTATTACTTCCACAAGAAATCTTCGCTAAATTGTTGTAGGTCCGTGAACTGAACTCCTTGAAATGCTGACCAACTATGCGGTCTCATCGATGATATACCCAAAACAGGGTGCGGGTCAGCTCCAAGGTAAGGACGAACTCGATCCATGCTCACCCAGACTTTTGTACCCTTAAACCGGTTTTCGATAGTTTCCTTATCCCCTCGTTGATGCGGAAACTTGTCTGGATTTGAAGAACGGCCAGGCCACCATTTGTAAGCAATGACGGCAGGACTGAACTCAACTAGATATCGATCTTCTTCAACTTCAATAATACGGGCCAGAAGATATAATTGCGACTTCTCAAGACTATGATAACAATAATTATAATCTGGATATACCACAGGTGCTTCAACAAGATCACCAATATGGAGACAACGATAAGGTCTAATGTCCCATGTGTTTATTTCTTCTTCCCACGGGCACCAGGTTCTTTTTTCACCTTTTTCTAATCCTATTAGAGCATCCTCCGTGAAACCAAGTATATCCTCTGAATCTTCAACATTTTCGGTATCTTCCGCAGGAATGACGTCTTCCGAAGACCAATTCACATATTCCACATCTTTATCGCAGACTTTGGTAACTTTGACATCATGCCATAACCCATCTACATAAATCTGTATATGTTATGAACACAGTTTGAACATAAGTATGATACATTCTGTAACAGTTATTCGAATATTGATATCATATTAAGTAAATTGAGCAAATTCACCTGAATTTTCTCTCCAAGTTTAGGTTTTTGCGTAAATACTGTTGAAGGCCCTAGAAGACTATATTCAAATTCCTGTAAGTCTTTTAAATCTTCGTGTTGACCGGTCTGTATCACAAAATCATCAAAGCCAACTGGCGGTATTGTCATAAATACAATATTACTATTCTCTTCCCCGGCCTTTATAGCTGTTACAGTATAGCGTCCACCAGCATAAGCTTTGAGCTCAATGACCGAAAGGTTACCACTCCAAGCATTTGTGCCATCTCTTAATGTGCTACGAATAGATATCGAAGCTCCAATACGGAGTCCACCGAGCATTCGTATATCTTTTATGTGCTTTCTCTCAATTTGGCCAGTTTGAAGATAGCGAACGTATACCCATATGTTAGGATATTCTGTAAAGTTTTCAATAAGGTTACCTATATTCGACTGGCATCCATCTTGTATGAATATTCCAAGTTCATTCAATGAAGGTACTGAAACGATTTGGCAAGCAGACATCCAGCCAACATGATCACGAGGACTCTCTAATTCACTCGGAAGCGTGATATCACTTGGTTTTCTCTGGCACTCTATAAACGTTCCATACCCACAACTATCGAGAACGACCTGTTTTAACTTTTTGGACAATACTTTTTTACCAAGGAAAGACAAATAGTCGTGTGGTTTAATGTAACCTCTGTGCAACGGATCCAATGCTTCGCGTAGGGCCGGAAGCCAAAGTGGTCTAATATCCTTCAAATAAATTGTTCTGTATGAAATACTAAATTTTTCGCTACCCTTTTTATTGCTTACATTGGAAGCTTTGGAAACCTTGGAAATCATGGCAGCAGTTGGGATATCTTCTATTTCAAAGGTTGTTTCAATTTCATGGACAAACCGAGCCCAGGAAACGTAAACATTCTACGTTACATATAAAAGAATAAAAGAGTTCAGGATCAATAATTATAGTCATTGACTTTGAAAATTCTCAAATTAACCTCTGGTTAACAAGTTAACTACTTACCTCATACGGGACAACAGATGATATACTGAGTTCTTCAGGTCTGAAAAAACGATCTTTCCAGAATGCAATTGCTTCCGGATTGTCTCTTCCTAGGCCATTAAGAAAAGAAGAGTCAACGGAAAGGGTATAGCGATTAAGCTTTTCCTGAAGTACCTGACAGTCATTCTGGAGTCTTTTCACAAATCCTTCAATAGTAATGGCGAGAGCTTCCCTCAGTTCTGATCCTAGAGTGCTAGTAGATGTCGAGGTTGAAATGGTAGGTGATTTAATCGTTGGTGCTGTTGAAGTTTGAGCATTCTGTATGATGTTAAAAATCTTATCGAGTAAATCAAGCCTAGACTGGATCTCTTCAATGGTTTTTTGGATGTTAGCCAAGGTAGAGGATGATTTAAGTATTCTTATGCCCTGCTTTATGATTTTAAATTTGCTTTGATCTTCATTTGTTTTATAATCTTTTAAGCACTTATCATAGATTTTTTTGGCTCGTTCAACGGTATCCTTGATGCCAACTATATAGACTTTGTCAACTTTATCATTAATGGTTTCTAAAAGTTTCTTAAGCTGTTCTAGAATATCTTTCAACTTATTGAGTCTTTCAAAGGCTTCTCTATCATTCTCGAAATAGGTATTGACCTGTTGACCAATTGATATTATTTTTTCAATAAAATTAATGATGTCAATCATTTTCGTTACTGCAAATACAAAATAGGACTAATAGATAAGAAATTATACGAGCGTGTGTACAGTACGCATGTACGTACGTACTAGTAACTTTTATAATGTAAGACTTAATCCGCGTACGAAGGGTTTTTGGCTAAATATGTAAAACAAGTATAGCCGCGTAAGTATGAATGTGCGTACCGTGCGTTACAAAAGCATCACGATTGACGTTTGATGGATTCCACACGTGATTCGATAGACAATTAATTCGGATACTGAATTAGTATGATATTGTTGTAATAAATTCTGTTTCACAACGTGCATTTCCTTCTATGTCAACAATAGCGAGTGTAAAATAGGAAGCTTTTTGTCTTGGGCCATAAATGAATTTCTCAATTGGTTAGTAGATTGAAAAAGAACGTTTATTTGGCAAATAAAATTATTTTAGCTATATGAATTTGGAAAGTAAATACTTTACACTATTCATTGAATGTCGACTCTATTGACCGATATAGTTTATGCAAGATAAAGCGTAAGACAACTTAATTATTTGAATTTCACTTTTTAATTCGAGTGCATAAATCAAAAAAATCATGCAATTGGACAGTTTTCCAAATAAATTTATAATAAATATTCCCATATTTCAGAGACCTTATCTCAGTATTTATTTGACATAAAATTCATGCAAAGAACTCTATGTTATAATCAAAGTACCATTTTGATGGTGCCAGATTTTTTTTATTACGTTAAAGATTATAAGTTTTAGTACAGGTAAAAATCTTATTAGTGGATAAAAGGTCATTTAATCTGATGCCACCGGATAAAATTATCAAATGGATATCCAAAAATCTTTGAATGAACAACACAAGGAATTTCAATTAAAACAAAGACACCTAAAACTTTAATGAAAAAATAGACAAGCAATAATTTATTCATTGTTACCATATCAGGAAATATTAATTCTGTGAGATGAGATGTATATTTGTCACACGATTACTACCATATTGAGACACCGATGATCAGTCCTTTTATGCTTACCGATATGTTGGACCCTATAAATTGGATCATTAGACTATAAGCCCAACTCCAATTCAAATTACTGGACTTATATAAAGGTTTTTAATACAATAATATAATATTTAGAATAATCATATTTTCACCCAGATTAGTGATGCAGCTGTATTGAGGTAATAGTCACGACCGATTGATTGTAGTGAAGTTGTAACTTTTTGGTAGTATTGACGTAGGTAGTAACTCCAGTCGTATTAAAATACTATGTTGTGGTAATTCTTAAAGTATGTAGTATATTATGCAGCAGACCATAATTCTTAATAATACTGATAACAATAATAGAAAACCATATATATGTGTACGTAATTAATTTATTATGTATGTATATAAACGTATTGTCATTTTATTTATCTATAATAAAAGTTTTTAATTTACTTTTTTTTTATTTTCTCAGAATAATTAAGTTCGGATGATATTCCCGTTTCAATACATTCAAATAAAAATCAAAAAATCTGGTCATTTTATTATAAAATACGGTATTAGAAGCCAATACTCAACAATAAAAATAGTATACGCATCAATTTTTTTATAGAGGCAAAAATTTTAAAAGCTATTTAGCAATTTTGTTGAGCTTATTATAAAGAACAAAGTTACCGGTCAGATTTTTAAAATATTACTTTTATAAAAGTTACAGCACTTTAAAATTTATTTAAATTGAAACATATAGTAATCATATATAAAACAATAGTAATCTTTAAAACGCATCAACTTTTTATACAAAATGTTTTTCAAATTAATGTGATGCTTATTACATGGAAATCTGAAAATTTTGGCACTTTTATGAATAAATTTAATTAACATGTTAGAAATAAAAAATTCTCAAGATTCCTTATTATATTTCGATTCTACAGTACTGCCTCTAGTAGTGCATAAAAACTGGTAGTTGGTTTGTCGAAATAATATCAAAATTCCCACTAACATAAAAAATCTCCAGAAATTTTGATATTACTTAGTCACAATAACTACCAGTTCTAGTGTATTACTGGAAATGATGCTGGAGAATAGAAATATAATGAGGAACCTTGAGAATTTTTTATTTCTAACATGTTAATTAGATTTAATTATAAAAAAATGTCAAAATTTTCAGATTTTAGTATGATGGGCGATCATCTGCTGATCACAGTAATTTGAAAAGCGCAGTAAAATGAAATGGGGTTTCTATCTAATCATCTAAAATCCACTTATACTTGTTTATTATAAACTCTGCCCTAAAACAACCCTAACTCTAACCCTAAAAAATGCACCTCAAAAATTTTATTTTTCGATGGCTTGACTATTTTTTACATTGTACAATATTTCGTTTAATCCGTCACATTTAAATGATCCTGGAAATATGGAATATTCATCCTAGAAATTAGTGGATGAATTTTAGTTGAGATATTGGCCTCGATTCAAATTAGAAGATTAAAAGAAACAAATTATCAGCATTGTAATAAATGTAATAAATGTGTTAGCTTTAATAATTTAGATAAAATTTGACTTGTTTTGGAAAATTTACATTAACCTACAATATACGATACATATGAGATAATATTACATTATTCTTTATACGTAGCATGCGACTAAAGATGGGCAAGGTAATAATGTAAGTAATTATTACTTATTTTTTACCCCAATATTTACACATACATATTATTATAATTATTACTTATCACGTTTACAAATGTAATCTGGAAGGCAATTTTTAAACTCAATAATTTGCTGATCAGGTTAAGTTTTTGTTTATATCATAATTCTTTACTTATTA